AATCTTTCTGCTTTCCCACCATAAGTTTTATCCTAATTTCTTCTTTCTTCAGTCATTATCCTTGGGGTTTGGGTACTGCAAATTGACACAAAATGAAAAAAAGCCAAGGAAGCACACAGGTTAAAGATAAAAACAGGCTTCAGATGTTAGTGGGCAGAAGGGTGGCTCCCCAGGGGCAGCCAACTTGGGTGGACGGCAGTGCGAAGCACCAGGGGATGACAGTATTAGCCACTGCTGAGCAGAAAACTGGAATTATCCTTCAAGCTATTTTCTTCTCTTTTCTGGTTGTCACATTTTGTCTCTCCTGTCTTTCACTGGTGCACTACAAAGACGCAGCCAAATGGAATTAAGATCTTCTTTTCGACATGGCAAAGTATGCATTGATCTCGAGATTAAGAGTTAGACTTCAAAAAAGTTCAACAATATGTGAAAAAGAAAATTTGAGCTAGGAAGTTTAAATTACATAAGCACCATGCTGATGATATACAAATAAACACAGTATATAACTTTTCCAGATTAATTTAAAGATGATAAAATAAGGGGCACCTAGCTGGCTCAGTTGGTTAAGCGACTGCCTTTGGCTTGGGTCATGATCCCTACGGTCCTGGGATCAAGCCCCGTTTTGGGCTCCCCACTCTGTGGGGAGTCTGCTGCTCCCTCTGCCTCTCCCCCTGCGTGCTCTCTCTCCCTCTCCCTCCCTCAGATAAAGAAATAAATCTTAAAAAGCCAAGGTGATTGAACAACAGAAGTTGGGAATGACAGCTGAGCGACTGTCCACATGTTGTTTCTCGCCTTTCCTGAAACGATGCTCTAGAACCTGGCGCTGCTTCCAGCTCTGGGTCCCTTCCATTCTCTGGGAGCTTTTGCTCTTTGAATCCCAAGTTCCCAGCCTTATCCATACCCGCGGCCATTCCCTCCCAGCTCTCTTCCGCCCGGCCGGCCGCAGCCTGACAAGACTCGCTTTCCCTGAAGGTCTGTGCTGCTGCGTGTCCACGCGCCGCCCCGCCGTTCCACACGCAACCACACGAGACCTGAAAGGTCTCAGTTGGTCCCTGAACTCTTCCCAATCAGTGCTCTATTTCCAGGTATTTTTTAGACCTTCGAAGAGTCTGGGAGAACGTTCTCAAGGAAGGACACACGCCGCGAACAGGAGCTGCGTTTTACACTGTGCCCCGCACGCGGCCAGGAATTACTGACCTGGATTGTGACAGCTGCGGTTCGCTGAGCTGGTCACCACCCCGGTGCCTTTAAAGTCGACTCCCGTCGCATTCCTTTTAATCCTCACTCCCCTGAGAGCGGTTCTAGTGAAATACCCATTTTAGAAACGAGTAAACAGAGGCAAAGAGGGGATCGATGTACTATCAAATTCAGATAATTGGTCAGTTGCTGAGCGGGAATTTCAGTTTTACAGTCTGTACCACTGTTCCAGGGCTGCCGTGAAATGTGCTGCTGACTGTGTAGCTTAAACAACAGAGACTTATCTCCTCACAGCTCTGAGACCTGCAAGTTGGAGATCAAGGTGTCAACACAGACTAATTTCTTTTGAGGTCTCTCTTCTGGGCTAATAGGTAATAAGTCTTTACTCTGTATGTATCTGAATCATAATTTTTCTTTTTCTTTCTTTCTTTCTTTCTTTTTTTTTTTTTTTTTTTAATGAGGACACCAGTCATATTGGATTAGGACCCACCTCAACCTCATATGTCCCCAATTACCTCTTTTAAGGTCTTATCTCAGGGCGCCTGGGTGGCTCCGTGGGTTAAGCCTCTGCCTTCGGCTCGGGTCATGATCCCAGGGTCCTGGGATCGAGCCCCGTGTCGGGCTTTCTGCTCAGCAGGGAGCCTGCTTCCCTCTCTCTCTCTGCCTGCCTCTCTGCCTACTTGTGATCTCTCTGTCAAATAAATAAATAAAATCTTTTAAAAAAATAAAAAAATAAAGGCCTTATCTCCAAATAGGACACAGTCTGAAGTACTGGGGGTTAAGACTTCAACATACAAATCTGTAGGGGGACACAACTGAGCCCACGGCAGAGTCTCATTCCACATTCCTTTTGTTAACCGCTAAACAAATCTAAAAAAGAGGAAAGAAGGGAGGGGACAGCATTGGAGGGTAGAGGGAACAAGGAAGGAAGGAAGGAAAAACAAGAGAAAGAGAAAAAAAGGAGGAAGGGAAGAAGAAAAAAATATTATTTGGGATTATAGCATGGGACATTACTTGGATTGATTTGATGGTTCTTGATTTCCCTAAGGAATGTAGCCACCTCTATACAGTGATATACTTGCCAAGCAAACCAGAGTAACCTTATAGGCAGAGTGCTTTGTAGACATTGTTGAAGACTGACCAGTTGTTGGGAAGGCATCTTGGTCTGGTGAGATGACCATGAGCTCTGGAGTTACAGAGATACGGGTGCAATCTTAGCTCCGTCTCATTCTATTTGGAAAAGTTACGCCCTTTTTCCGAGCCTCAGTTTTCTTAAGATGGGTATAAGATTTCATATAGGTAAGATTTTTAAGAGGATTATAGTTGATTTGAAGTTCATAGATAAGCTTATATCCTCAATAAGTGAAAATCTCAAGGTTCTTCCCTTTTCCTTTCCATTTCTGGCTCTTCACTTCCTAGTGAAGTGAAGAACCACTTCCCTTTCTTTCACACACTTTCTCCTACATGCTGCCATTTATTTTGATTGGATTTAAGCAATCATTCTTATTCCTCTTTTGATTTGGAAAATACCTACCACTTAAGCAAAATTTTATAAACACAAAATCTACTGTATTTACCTTCTCTTTTAAAAAAATATAAGCAAATTTATCAATTGAAATATTTCATACTTCCAGAAAAGGAGAATAAGCAATATGAAAAACACTGTTACAAAGAGAAATACGGATGGATGACCACTCGTCACATTTGCTTCTAATCTCTTTATTTTTTGGTGGGACTGAGAGAAATAAATAAAACTGCATGGATATATCCAAACATCCATATTGTAACCTAATTTTAGTCACAAAGTATATCCCAGTTAATTCGTTTATTCACCAAGTGTTACTCAATCATTATTTCGGGTACTAAACATGGACCTGTGAATGCTACATAAAGTGTCTATGCTTGAATGGAAAATGCTTAGTGATGGAGAGAGTGAACATGTACAAAAATAAATATATAAGTAGTGATAAGTGCTATTCAGAAAACAAAGCAGAACATTCCTAGTAAGAATGTGAAATGGTACAACTGCTTTGAAAAATAATCTGAAAGTTCCTTAAAATATTAAGAAGAATTACTATATGATACAGTAATTTCCCTCCTAGTTATATACCCAAAAGAAAGGAAAACATATGTCTGCACAAAAACTTGTGCACAAATGTTCATAACATTATTCATAGTCCCCCAAAAGTAGAAAAAGCACAAATGCTCACTAACTAATAAATGGATAAATTATGGTATCTCTGTACAATAGGATATTTTCAGCAATAAAAAGAAATGACATACTGGTATATGCCATACATGGACGAACCTTGAAGACATGAATGAAAGAAGCTCGACACAAAAGGCCATAGAGTGCGTTATTTCATTTATATGAACTGTCCAGAATTAGGTGATATGCGGAGACAGAAATTGGGAAGCAAGGAGGTGATGGCTAATGGTGGGGAATTTTCTTAGAGGATAATAATGTATTCTAAAAGTGACTGGGCAATGTTTGTTCAACTTGTAGATAAACTAATAGCTACTGAACTATTTATTTTTAAAAATCGAATTTACTAAAAATAAAAACTTGTGCTCATCAAGACCCGTATATGAAAAAGAAGAGATAAGACATAAACCAAGATAAAATATATATAATGTTTTCATTTGGCATGGAATCTATATCTCTAACAGATAAAGAACTTCTACAGTTTAGTACTGAAAAGGCAAAGAAACTTAAAAAAGAAAAACCAGGTTACTGGGGTAGAAAATGATAAGGAAACAGTGGTGTTTACTTTTTAAATCTGGTGCTGGAAGAAAATCTTCTGGGGGAGATCTCTGGAAAGGCTCCTAAAGGAGGAGTCTGCTGTTCCAGGGTCTTGGAGGACAGCATTCCTGTCACAAGAAACAGGAGTTTCAGTGTAGTACACTTAGAATGAGTATGGTTTGTTTAAAAATAAGCAGTTTCTTTGAAGCCAGGCGATTAGTAGGCAGTGTCCATAAAGCCAAGCAGTTACAGGAAAGACGTGTAGGAAGTAAAGTTGAAGGGGGAGCTGGGAATGACTTACTGGCACCGTTTCCCTTGGTGAAATGACCCTGCCTCGCGATGATGATGATTCAGCAAAACACTTCCCAGCCCCTGTCCGATGTCTTTAACTGCCTTTACACAGGTCCACTTAGAACACAACCTGTCCAGACTGAATTCATCCCTACTACGCACGCCAATCAGTACTTACATTAATTTACCTATTTGTGTGCCCAGCACAATAAATCACCCAGGATATACTTGAATTCTCTGTCCTTCACATCCTGTATTTACTCAGTTACTCAGTGTCCGCAATACTCCACTCAGAACGTCTCTCAGACCTGCCCTTGGCCCTGTAGCTCCACTGACGGTTCCCATTCATAGTTTCAGTCTGATCCTCTGCGACTTTCCAGCCGCCAGTTCCACTTAAATTTTCCCCTCTCCACGCCCTGCTATCCATGCCGGATTTTATTAAAGCACAGGTCACACCACGCTTTTTAATATTTTTTTTAGATCAGATAATCTACTGACTTCTCCTTAAATGTAACATTATTTGTCAAGGAATTTTCCAAAAATATTTTATGGGAAAATAGCCCCTTGTCATATAATTTTGGAAATACATTGACTATACTCTCCCACAGAAGATACAATTGCACACTCCCATAGTAAGGATCCTAGAAACATCCTACAGTTGAGAAACCTATATAAGGTTTTTAATTCAGACTTAAATAGGTATTAACCTATGAACACTTATTTTTTTATAACAGCTAATAACATCTTGCTGAACTTATATTCTGAGAACACATCTTGACCTAAAAGGATAAAATTGACGCGGCAGATTAGCATTAAAGTGAATGGAAGATGTAAGTTCTACAACATAACTATAAATTATTCTGTGGAGTGTATAAAATATGCTAATTAAAATGCATAAATTTTTAGAACTTGAATGGAATTTAAGGACAATGTGGCCAAAATCATGTGTTTTATAAATCAGGTTAAAAAATATGGGGCGCCTGGGTGGCTCAGTCAGTTAAGCGTCTGCCTTCAGCTCAGGTCATGATCTCAGGGTCCTGGGATCGAGCCCCGCGTTGGGCTCTCTGCTCCGCGGGGAGCCTGCTTCTCCCTCTCCCTCTGCTGCTCCCCCTGCTATGCTCTCTCACTCTCTGTCAAATAAATAAGTAAAATCATTAAAAATATATATATATATATATATAAATTTATTTCCAAAGGTTATTTAACAGGTTGCTGGCAGAGGTAAGTTTAGGATTTTTAGTTTGTTGCCCCCAAAATAAATACTATTTTCATTCAAGTTAAATAATTTAACGTACGTCCATTTTCTACTACTGTGTGCCTGGCAGATACAAAGATCCTTGACCGTTTATCCAGGCGCTTAACGTTGCATTTTTATTCAGTTCAGTCGGTCACGCGGAAATTCCTAAGGATCAAGGCGTCCTCTAGGCTTCTCATCTCGTAGCGTTTAACGTAGCGCAGCGCACAATTAGTCGCTAACACGACACGTCCGCACGGCGCGTTCTCGCTTAAAGACCTTCTGGTATCGAACCAGAAATCAGACGGGACTCGCCGGACTCGGGGCTCCTCCTGGCTCCGGGCTCGCGGCCGCCCGCTGCGTCCTCGCGGAGAGGGAGGAGGAGGGTGTTTGCGCGGCCGCGACCGTACGAGCGCGCGTCTCATCGAGCCCTGGTTCTCTCTGAACGGCCCCACCTCACGCCACCGCGCGGGAGTTCGGGCTCCGTCCGGTCTGGGGACAGCGACCCCGCGGCGGGCCCCTCCGACGACGCGGCGGCCTCCAGGCGCTCCGCTCACACGCCGTCGGCGTTTCCGGCTTCTCGTCGCAGGCCGCGCCGCGCCGCCAACGCCGACTTCGCGTGACCAATCGGGCGCCTTCCGACGTGCGGATTCGCCGCCCGCCCGCCCCGCCCGCCCCGCCCGCCAACGCCGACTTCGCGTAACCAATCGGGCGCCTTCCGACGTGCGGATTCGCCGCCCGCCCGCCCCTGCGCGCCCGCCCCCACCCCGCCCGCCCACGCCGACTTCGCGTGACCAATCGGGCGCCTTCCGACGTGCGGATTCGCCGCCCGCCCGCCCTTGCGCGCCCGCCCCTGCGCGCTGGCGTCGGCGTGAAATCCCACGTGACGCGCCGGGCCGCTGGCTTCGCCGCGCGGGTCTGGAGGGGCCCGAGCCGGGGCCGCGAGGCGCCGGGACGCTCTTGCTCCGCGGGCGCCGCCCGTCTCCGGCCCCGGGACCGCGGCGGCCTCTTCCCGAGCCTCTTCGCCGCCGTTTCCGTTCCGAGACGACGGCCCGCGCCCGACCCTCACACGTCCGCGTTCCGCCTGCCACGCGGGCGCGTCCGGGTGTCGCCGCGCCTTAGTGCCGGGGTCGCGGCCGCCCCCCGCGGAGCTCTGCGGCTGCGGTTTCTCCCGCGGTCGCGGCGGTCGCCCCTCGCTCCGGGCGGCCCCGCGGCTGCAACGGGGGCTCAGGTCGGCCGCAGCCGCTGCAGTGCGCGCGGGGCTTGGGGTTCGCTCCGTCCGACGCGCTCCCCCCGGAAGCGAACCGCCCTGCGGCGCCCGAGGCCCTCAGGCCGCGCTGAGGCTGCAGGGTCCGCGCGGGCCCCGCTCTCCCGAGGACGCGCGTTGCGACCGCTTTGCCCGGCGCGCGGCCCAGCGGGGACCGGCGCTTCCTGCACCGGGAAAGCGTCGGGGCTGCCCGCGAGCTGCTCGGCCCTCGTCGGCGCGAAGAGGCCGCCCGCGGCTCTGCAGATCTTAGTCATGCGTCCTACGGTCGGAGGTCGCGAGCAGGCGGGGAGCCCGATGCGGGGCTGATCCCAGGAGCCCGGGAGCATGACCCGAGCCGAAGGCAGCGGCTTCACCCACCGAGGCCCCCAGGTGCCCCGGTCACACTGTTTGGAAGGAAGCATCTCTTAAGGCTAAAACCCTGGAAATAGCAGGTCGCTGCGTCCGCCTCCGTGGAGAACCCGCGCTGCGCTGAGGGACGCTGAAAGTCGTCCACGGGGCGCCGCGGCCTCCGACGCTCACCCCCCACCCAAACCTTCCTTCCCATCTGGGATTTTCCACCTTCTGGGGACTGAATGAGCCGATGGCCTTTTGACCCAAACGGCCTGAACTGTTGGATCTGCTGCTGATCCTTGCAACCGAGGAAAGTCTGAAACGACTGAAATTAAACGACACTGTAAGCCACTAGCTGTAAAGAAAGTAACTTGGTGGGTTGAGACCCCAGTTTCTCATCAAAGTCGTAGGCACCCAACTTTAGCCTGTTCCTAAGTGATGGGACACGAACTTAGGCTACATTTTGCACTCAAAATACAACGGGGTTGTACATCTGAAAGAAACTAATGGAGACGGAAGAGTCCTTGAAAAATACATTTTCTTCTTTTTTTAAGATTTCATTTGTTTATTTGAAAAAAGAGAACATGAGCAGAGAGTGGGCAGAAGGAGAGGGAGAATCAGACTCCCTGCTGAGCAGGGAGCCTGACTCGGGGCTCGATCCCAGGACCCTGAGATCAGGACTTGAGCCAAAGGCAGACGCTTAACTGAGTCACCCAGGCCTTCTGAAAACTACATTTTTTCTTTCTTTCTTTCTTTCTTTCTTTCTTTCTTTCTTTCTTTCTTTCTTTCTTTCTTCCTTCCTTCCTTCCTTCCTTCCTTCCTTCTTTCTTTCTTTTTTTAAAGATTTTATTTATTTATTTGACACAGAGAGAGAGAGAGAGCGAGAGAGAGAGAGAGAGCGCACAAGCACGGGGAGAGGCAGAGGGAGGGGAGAAGCAGGCTCCCTGCAGAGCAAGGGAAGCCTGATGCGGGACTCGATCCCAGGACTCCGGGATCGTGACCTGAGCCGAAGGCAGTGGCTTAACCCACTGAGCCACCCAGGTGCCCTGAAAACTACATTTTCAAACATAAGATTAAAGACTAGAAGTTTAGCTGGTTGACTCTTCAAAATTATTTATGTATATATATACACACCTACATATATATATACACATATATATTTGTGGACTCAGTTTAGGTATGACATAGAAGGTATATAACGTGGCTACTGACAGAAAATCAAATACATGCTAACACTTACAAAGTGTTGTGAAAAAATAGGTTGTACGTTTCACTAGTGATTTTAATGAAGCTTAAACCCAAACGGCATTACTTTACTGTTCAGTATAAAGCTGCACACACCGTAATGCTGGATATTGCCGCTATGATTCACTCGAGGAGTAAACAGAATTCTCTACATTATTTGAGATGGAGTATCTGTTCTTGCATTTGTGAGGTTTACTGATAAGATTTCTCTTTCCCTCCTGACTCCGATAACATCCGTGGCTGGACAGGTTCCTATGCTGCTGCTTTTTCTCTTCCTGTGCTGTATGAACACACTTCCTTCTGCCTCTGAATCCGAAGTAGAAAGACCCTAAACAAATTTCAGTGTGGTTTCCCATTATTTTTTATTGTGGGTCTCTAAATCATTTTGAAAGAGGAAGTCTCACTCTCCTGCTGAAATCTGTTTCCTTCAGAGTGTAAATGTGTTGGTTTATCACTCCAGTCACTTTTCTGTGAGACTCTTTGGAATCGGATAACTCCCTAAGTTGAGGGTGAGAGACTGGGGTAAAGGACTTGCTGGAACGCCACAGGTTTCTTTTTTCCGGTTCTGTCTGCTGTCTCATAGAAAATCTGGGTTGAAAATTGGTTATACAAACAAATATATTTTAAAGGAAACAAAGACAAAACTTTGGAAAATGTCTTTCTTTTTGAAGAAAAGATCTGAAGTCATGGGAAAGAGAAGTCGGGAATTGAAAGTTGCATTAATGAAATAATAGAAAAATGCCAGAATATTAAAATATAGTTAATTCTGACTGACAAAGAATAGGTGCGAGAGAGATGTGGCAAATAGAGCTGTACATGAAAATAGGTCTTAGTGATACTTAGGCATGTTGATCAGTTGTTATTTTCATTTGCATTTTCGAGGTTGAACTGTGAACCGCATGCCTGAATAGTGTTAGACGTGTGCACTGCACATTTGTGGATCTACAATGTCAAATGCTATATACACACGTTTTAAACACGACTCATGGAGTCTGTGGCCAGGACACATGAAGTGTCATAGAAATTTACATTTGGAGATTTGCATCAGATTCCTACTCGTCTACAGATAATTTGACATTAACTTTTAATTAAATATATCTGGGTTCTGTATTTCAGAGATGATTTATACAATGAAGAAAGAACAGATTTTTTGGGTGTCTGTGTATCTACTGCTTGATTGTGCCTCTGCCCCTCTTAGTGCTGTCCTTGAAACTGAAGATTATGCAGATATTACAGGTAAAATATTAGAAGCATTCATATTTTTCGGCTAGTTAAAGCTCTCAATTTTGATCCCAAAATGTAATATGTTTTTCTCCATTGTGTGGGAAAATTAGCTTCTATGGAAGTGGCATCCTTCTTGAGAAATGTCTTACATGTAATCTGTCAAAAAAACCCACAAAACTTAGACCAAAAAAAGTCACATTAGCAAGGAAGACTTCTTTTTTTTCAGAAGTATCTCTGGACAGTTGCAAGGAGCAAAGTACTATAGAAACAGCTGTGAACCTTGGTGCCATCCTGTAGCTGGGAAAAGCGTGAGAAAGGGAAGGAAACTACAGACATTCACTTTTTGCCTTATTCTCAAGATAACAACTTCCAAGATAAGTCCAGTGTGAGAATCTAGTCAAACAGGACATTAGGAGATCTGGCTTAATACAAGTTAGTTCTAATCTTATGAATCTCCGTATCTGAACATAAAATACTAACAATCAGCACAGAACAAGAAGAAAATTGTATAGTGATTATTATTATATATTTCTTTCTTAGCATTTTGTGGCAAATTAGTAAATTATTGGTAGAGATCTCAAGTCATCGGTAGTAGCGAGACAATACAGACAGAAGTGACAGCTTCTGTTGGTATGTTGACGACGTACCGAAGACTTCCACACACATTCTTATTTCATACCCAACCACTCTCGAGGGGGATTTCGTTCAATGTACTTCCCTTTGATAAAGATGGAATCACTACATCTTATGTGCTTGAACTCGGTAGGTACTGGGGAAGCAGCGATGACTCAGACCAAGTTCTCAAGAATCTCACACTTTCACAGGGGAGACTTAAATTGTCACTGGAAATAAAATATTGTTATAAAAACTCCCTAAAGATGAGACACTATTTAACAAAGTAAACACTATAATGTGTCTTATAAAATGAGAATCTGGGCTCTAATTCTTCATTTGTCTCACTTATCAAAAAAGAAGGTTTCTAATATTCTGGAAGCTGAGAAGAGAAGGAATGTAGAGAATAAAGTCCCAAAAGGGAAAAAAGCAGGCAACCGGTCCTGAAAATGGGAGGAGAAAGGGTCTCCAGTACTCACCTACTCTGATGTCCCTGAGTTAGGCTGAGAAGACGCGAGCCGGGTCACCCGAAGCTTCCTGACGTTGTTAGGCTGGTACAGTCCTCCAAGAAACTGGAATAAACCATCTATAATTCAGCCGGAGTTTAAAATCGCTCCATAAATTCAGAACAAACCAAAACTTTCTGGCTTAGAAAACTTTTTTTTTTTTTTTTTTTTTCAATCTGAAAGCTGGACGTGAAGATCACGAAACCAGCTGCACAGTCTGAACCAGTTTTGGGGTTTCTTTGCTTTTGTTTTGCTTTTAATCTTGAAATAGCTGATCCCACATCAGAATCAATGCGATTTTGGAGATACCATTTATCACACGGTGCCAAGGTCATGCCGTCTTTTTATAGCGGTGGGCCACTTCCTGGACTAGGGCTCTATCATCTTAGAGAAAAACGTGGAAGATTTTATCACTTCTCTCACACGGCAATAGTAGGCTTTTTCTTAATCAGTCCAACCAGCAGGGAGGATGAAATACAATAAACTTTTTGATAATAAAAATATTAGCGATAAGCTCTTTTTTAAAAATTCCCTTAGAGTGAGAGAGGAGCTTCGCGGGGAGCGCTGGGAGGAAGACAGGTGTCTTTCATACAATTCACGATCAGGCAGGCCTGAGTTCACGCGTGGGGTTTGCCACATGGTAGCTTTGCAGAATTAGATGAGTTATGAAAAGGCTCTGACCCCCAGTGTCTTAGCTGATACGTACGTGATGCAGAAACTGTTCCTATGGTTGTTACATAAACTGCACAAAAGCACCTGGCACGTTTTCCGGCACGGAGACGGCACAGAGCGTCTGGCTGTGTTCCTCGCTGCCAGACAAACCAGATCTTTTCGTGAAAAGATCGCACAGCATGTAGACTCTTAAACAGCAAGTTACCTTAAAGCTCTTGGTTTCCACACAAGGTCCGGGAGAATGACATGACATGTCCCCAAATATTATCATGAACCTGCTATCCAACGTCCCGGGACAGGGGGAGGGGACAGTGAGACATAAAATGCAAAAAGTCAATTATAAAAATGATACACTAAAAACCACAATTCTGTTCCTGTGGCTGCATCACATTAAGTTCCTATCCCACGGCCCCCTACATGTCTTCTAGTTACGTGGGGTTAGGCGGATCCTTGTCAGTAACACTTCGCTTAAGTCTCCGCTTCGAGTCTCAGGAAAGCTGTCCCTGACCCTGCAGACAAGCTGAGCTCTCCGAGCACCTTGAACTTCTTGAATGTTTGTAAGTCTTCAGTGTCCACAGGCTACATGATGGGGGGCGCCACTGCCCCCCAATGTACTATCTTATCTGCCATGACTGCACAGTGCCTGACCCATGATCAACACAGGATTGTTAACTTTCAAGATTTATCCAAGGTGAGAAATGAAAACCAAGACAGACTCTCATCCCTTTTGCGTGGAGCAGCAGGGCACCGCACCGGAGAGACCATACCTCATCACTCCCCCATGTCAGGGACGCTCTGCCAAGGGTGGGTCATAGGCTGACTGCTTAAAAGAGTATTCTAGTATGGGATTCATCTAAGAAATACATTAAAGTGCGAATGGTAAAGATGAATAATTAGATAATAAATTAATGAACTACAGTTCTTAGTGTTTCACTTGGGAAGTTGCTATAGAATTACCTACCTTTCATAGCTGAAACATTTTCAGTTTTAATAAGGTCAGTTTGAGAAAAAATGTATTGAGTGTAAATTCTAGAATTAAATCTTATGTGCTAGACCTAAAATGCCTGTTGAGGAACCTCGGTCGTGCGGATCTCTGGCAATATCACTTGACTATGGGCGTGGGGGCTGCCTGGCGTAAAATGAGGTGGGGGTCAGTTCTACAGCCAGTGCTTGTGGTGCGAACTGAGCAGTCAGTGTCTGAGGTGCTGTTTTGTAATTTGTAAATGGAGAGAATACCTTTCGAAGGTTGGTGTGATTACTAAGTAATATAATCGCCAAATGTCTGGGGCACAGTACTGCGTAAACATGAGCTAGTGTGACTACGACAAGGACAGAAACGGGCACCAACTTTGACTTCCGTGGCGGACGACCACCATCTGGTGGCACAATCCTCAACAACGAGTTGAACTCGGTGGCCCAGGCTTAATAGAGAAAATGTACAATACAAGTTCGGCATGACGAAAAGTACTAGCAGGTGTATCAAAATCAGAACCAGAGGAATTATCAATGAGAAAGAATCTCATATAAGTTACTATTTATAGAAACTAGTTGTCCTAAATATGTACGGCAACTCAGGTAGTAGATGAAGCCCCGCCTGGGTTCTACAGGTAGAGAATTACACTGCGGGCACCTGCCTGAGGTACTGTGTCTGTAGACATCTGAAGTCACGTTGATGTGGGAATCGGGGACCATCATATTGTCTGAGGAGCGCTACAGGGATTTCTGAAGTAATTGTGTAGAGCCATATCATTGAGAATACCAGATTATTATTATTCCTAGCTCATTTCTCAAAATTAAATATGTGACTTTTGAGATTCTGTGATCTGATTCTAAGATCAGATATTTATAGAACTGATGATAAGTCAGATTTTTATCGGTCACATAAAAATGTGTGTAGAGTGTAAAAACGCATCGTGCCCATACACTGATACTTGCCGTGGGTCTGCTCGCAGTAAAATGCACTGTAGGGTCTTAGATGCAAAGTCTTCCAGCTTCTCACAGCTCTTAAGTCACAATATCAGGGACTATATTCTAAATCTTCAAGAAAGAGAATGTAAGCACGATTTACAATTATTTGCAAGTGTACTACTACTCTGAAAAGGCTTTTAGTTATTTTTTATTTCAAACTGACAATTGTAACTTCAGTGATGAATGGAAAGCACATATTTTTTCATTAATCACTTTTTTATTTATATTCACATATTTATCTATGAAAAATATTTTTACCAACTCTCTAAAATGCTGTTTTATAGATAATGTGTATATAAGTGCTATAATATATATATGATGAATTTCTATAGAGAAAAGTAGTTGTGTATATAATTAAGAAAAAAAAAGAATTTCAGGGACTTCCAAGAACATTAAGGAAAATTATAATTCTGGAGTACCCACATTATTAGGTGCCAGAAACTTTTGATATGCCTTGAGAGATATTTTAAAGCCAATCATATTCAAATAAGTTCATCAGCATAAAATATTAGGCACATAATTGAAAAGAAATGAGAAAAAATTGTATGTCAATAAATGGTTATTGACTCATTTTGGTAAGCTATTTATATGTATGTTATAGAGATTGGCGTTAGGGACGCTATGTAATTGGTATAAAATTATTTTAAAATATCATAGAGATAAGACTCAAATTACATTTTTTTGTTTGCCCATAACCACATAGGAAGTTGAAAACGCACGAGTGCGCAGGCGCATAAAATTCAACATTACTTAAAGGTTTAACTAGTAATAGTTAGCTCACCTGATAATTAGCCAATTAATGAAAACTGTGTTTTCATTAATTCAGTATCCGTGTCTTTAGTAGATGAAGATCTGTGTGTCACAATAAATCTCTGCTTCATGTTATTCTACCTGATCAGATTTGGGACCTGGAAATATACTGTTCTGTCATTTCTGTCAGCTCAGTTTATTTCAGTTGAAAAAATTGTCAATTCAGTTATCCAAGAAGTCAAAATGATGATTTGGCATTTTATAAATTAAACTTTGATTTTTTTTTTTAAGTTTAAAAGCTGGATGAGTGGTTGAGATAAAATTCACATGTTCATAAATTATTACTGTGAAATGAATAATAATGAATAATAATAAATTACGTATAGAAAGCTATATTTTTAACCCTTCTAAGATTTCAGGGCTTACTTATCATTTTATGACCCATATAGAAATTAACAAAAAATTCCAATTATTTTATCATAAAGAGTTCTAACACTACCGAAATGTGGCTCACACTTGACATTAACTCGATGTAGATCATTAAGGTAACAAAAGCTGGAGGGTAGAAGATACTTAATAAAATTATCTAATCCAACTTTTATGATATCTATATCTTCTCTTTCAAAAAATTCACAGAAGTCTTAAAACCATAGGATATTCAAAATTGATTTCCTTCTAGGCGGTTATATATTCACAAACTCGTTCTTTTATTTAATTCTTTTAAAATGTTTCATGTATTTTTAAATGATGACATCCATTCATATTTTTTCGAAGTGAATTTATAGTGCATTAAACTCCTTTTGGGAGATACCCAGACTTCATCATTTTATTTTAGCAGTGTACTGCTGCCCTCTAAAGGGCAAATTGGCTGAGGTCATTTTAAGGCTTCACCGTCCCTCAGAAGTGATCGTTGTGAATACTGCAAGTCTTAGAAAATATATTATAGACAATACTCAAGAAGTATAAATAATATTATTTTGTTTTTATTATTCTGATAGTACCAACCACAATTTTCAGTATCTATCTTACTGATAGATTCTATAAGCAAATGCAACTTACTTAAAATTAGTCCTATATTAATATTATTAGACTCTATAAAACTTAAAATTTTAAATTGAGTTTTCTGTATACCCAAGTCCTTTCCCAAGATATGAAATTCCTCTGTGACTAAAATAAGTGGTTGGATATTGAGGGAAAAAAATTCTAACTCAAGATCAAAAAAATTGCCTCATTCTATTTTAAAACATAGACAGTATTAAGTTTTTTCAACATTGTTAAAAACTAACCATGGTAAGTAAAAGAATGGACCATGATATATATGTATTTGTAATACTAAACACCAACATTTTCATAATTTGGGAACGGCTTAATACAGGGTGATAATACAATATATGTGTGTGTGTATATCTACATGAACATGTGTATACTGCTGCTTTTACAAAGTTGTTTGTGTGTAAAAAATGACACAATTGTGGATTAGGGAGAGCAAATCAGAGAGATACCCATTAATGTGTACCCCTAAAAACTGCTGAGCTTAAAAAGATGTCTCTACTCACTTGCAATGTCAACACAGTGGTGACCTTACGATGACTACACATTTCCATGCTGGTTGACTGTGTACGTTTAAACCAAATCCCTAACACTAGTCTAGAAAATTATTCTACTCTTAAAGTTTAATTGTTGATAAAATTTTTTCATTTGGCATCTTTATAAATGTTATTTACCTTTTTGATAATTTCAAATAACTTGTCCTGGTTTCTTCCGCCTGTGTTGTTTCTGTTGTGCTTTTTAAGAAAAATCAGGACAGATGGAAAAGGAAATAAAATACATTATCACTGCGTGGATGAAAGGTTCTGTATCTTTTATTTTTACCTTGTAGATGTCGAGTTGCCGCCACTGAAACTTCTACATTCATTTTGTGCTTTGAAACCGGATAATGGCCCATGCAGAGCCATGATTAAGAAATTTTTTTTCAACATCCACACTCAGCAGTGTGAGGAATTTATGTATGGGGGATGTGAAGGAAATCAGAATCGATTTGCAACTCTGGAGGACTGCGAAGAAAAATGTACAGAAGGTAGGTTTCTGGAGACAGTTATCACCCAGGAGCCTCGAGCTCCTTTAACTTTTAAAAAAAGTTTAGGGTTATCGGATCTAATTGTAGATTTGATAATTTTAGGAAAAGAAATTAGAACTATTTGAACGTTCCAAGGAATATTTTTTTCACATTTTTGGCATTCATGTTCAACTACTGCTTTTCATTTTCCATATCCATTATTACAAATTATATTAAGCCTCATTTGTCATCCTATATTTTTCTCCATAACAAAGAAAGAAGAAAAACCTTTAAGTTCACTGATTTTATATCTGCAGTGAATTGGGTATAATTCTGCCTCCTGGGCAGCTGTGAGTTGTCAGGAAGGAAATTGTTAGTCACATTGACTTAGTCTTCCCTTCATCAGCACAGTGACCTGATAGCTCCCTCCGGTCAAAGCCGCTCTGAGCCTTCCAGTAGCTACTCACTAGAAAATTCTAAACGCCATCAGAGAGCAGAAATATATAGATGTTTCATATACATATGAGAAAATTAAGTCATTCTCTACCTAAAGAGAATGGAAGAGTGTGGAAAAGAAAATATGAACCTTTCTGGCCCATGTAGACTTTACGAAGCCCAACTTTTCATATTTTTACTCTTCAAAGTATATCATATTATATTAGTTTTCAAAGTATATCATATATATTATATTTTTTTCGAAGTATATCATATTACATTGCTGGTAAGCTTTATGGAACACTTTTATTTTGCTTTAATCCTACTAAAACATTATCCCCCTGAATTTTACAAACTATAATATGGTTTTATCTCATCTCACTGAGATAAATTCCAGATAATTGCTGGCCAAAGTTTGGAATGCTTTTATGTCTGTTTAATTCTTCTGAATTGTGAGCTACTTACGGGATAGAAGAACCCGCATTGTCTTTATCTCCGCAGCGTCTCACCAAGTGTCCCCAGAGCGCGCTGTCAGAGCTAGGTGAATTAAATGGTAGCTCTCTGGAGAGGGCGGCTTTAGTAACTCGAGGTGTCTTGCATTTTGCAAAACAGACAGTTCTGCATTCTCACTTGGAGGATGCTTTCCCAAGCAGCTCTTACAAAATAGCCTTGGCTTCATGATGCTCCTGGCATGTGGGAAAATCTCACTGTGGTGAAAGGAGAGAACGTCTCCCGTGTGTGACTCCGTGAGGTTCTAGAGCCGGCAGAGAAGGGTCGATGTGAATGCATTTCTTCGCCCTTGAGCACTTCCTTCCTTCCTTCTCCTCCGTACAAGTGCGGAAATGTTACTAACACAGATCAAGCATTCGGGGCTCTTCTGTGGGGCCTCTGGTTTTGGTGATCACCTGGTCATTTTCCATTCACTGGGCCTTGTTCTCGTCCGTGCTGGGCCAAGCGTCCGTCCGTGCGGGGCCGACCAGCAGGTTCAGCACCTCGGCTAGAGGCCCGTTCGCCTCATTCTTTCTGATTCTCATCTTTCCCTTTAGCAGCCTGAACGTCTTCGTCAACTGGCCTCTTTCCCGTAATGCACACCTGTTTCTTTTATTTCACCATCGTATAAAAGTTACCCTTTTCTTTAGAATTTGATCAAATATAATTATTTGGCCTTTCAGTGACCACCTTGCCTATGGTATCTTCTACAACGTCATTCCTACCTACCACATAGAGACGAGGCTCTGGCTTCCATCTCCTTATTACATCTTCCGGAGCCGCTCGCTGCTTGAATGAGGGCTGTTTCGTGTAGTAAACCACTGTGAGGACGGAACTAGCAGATAGAGAAGGGACTGCCAGGCTTTAGAAAACCATCTAAAGAGAAAATCCCATCTTCAGCTAAATGGAGTAGCTGAAACTGAACTTTCTCTCATAATATGAATGACTAGAAAAATTGGACAAAATATAGGAAGCAACTGCTGGCAGGCATGGCTCAAAAGGGAGTGCAGGACTGTGACCTCCGAGAGAAGGGAACCACGTGAGGAGAGTCCAGGCCCCCCAGCTTTCTGCATGAAGGCACTTCTGAACCACAGCCACGGGAGGGGAACCCAAGCCCAGGACGGTGGTCTCCCTGGTAGAGAATATGAGATGGGACATCAGGAGACTGAGGTCACTGGGTTTGGGGGCATAAGAAGTGGGAGAGAATGGACATATGTAGAGAAAAAGCTAAAAAGTCAGAACAAGAGTCCCTCTGAGTTTGTCACTGAACAACAAAATGCTTTGGTGAAATTCCCGAAGTTTGAGAGAATAATCACAGGGATTTGTCAATGGAGCACCCCAGAACACCCCCAGGACTGAGAGAAAACCCGCTTGTATACATGACAAATTTTAGGAACTGGCAGATGATTTTAGAAATCTCATTGGATAAAAGGACACTGTAAATATTTACACACACACACATACTGGCAATGAACAAATAGAAAATTAGACAAAATTAAAAAAAACAATTTAAAATAATGGAACATAAAATTCTTTTTTTTTTTAAGATTTCATTTATTTATTTGACAGAGATCACAAGTAGGCAGAGAGGCAGGCAGAGAGAGAGGGGGAAGCAGGCTTCCCGCTGAGCAGAGAGCCCGATGCGGGGCTCGATCCCAGGACCCCGAGACCATGACCTGAGCCGAAGGCAGAGGCTTAACCCACGAGCCACCCAGGCGCCCAGGAACATAAAATTCTTAGTGATGGATTTAAATTAAAAAGTGCATAACATTTACAATGAAATCTATGAAACATTGTTAAAAAGCCATTGGAAACAAAGAAGACTTCAGTGAACACAGATATAAAACGATAGATTGAAAGACTCACTTTAGTTGAGATGTAAATTCTCCACAAATGGACCTGGAAATTTTATCCTATGCCAATCAAATTCCAGCACGTTTTTGTTTCTATATTAATTAGTCAACTCTGAAATTGATACATAATACAAAGGACCTAAGATGGCTAAAATAATTCTGAATAAAAGAGCAAATTTGGAGGACTCTATCTGATTTCCATTTTCTAAAAAAGACTTTGTTTATCTTGGAAAGGGAGGGAGAGGGAGGAGAGAAAGAACCTCAAGCAGACTCTGCGCTGAGCTCAGAGCCAGTGTCGGCCTCCATCTCACACCCCTGAGACAGTGACCTGAGCCCAAACCGAGAGTCAGATACTAATGGTCTGAGCCACTCAGGGGCTCCAGACTTTATCTGATTTCAAGAGTTATAGCACAGCTGCCAAAATTGAGCAGAATGATGTGAGTATAAGGACAGACAGAAATCAATGGAATAGAATAATCCAGAAAAAGACAATACCATCAGAGTTAACTGACTTTCAATGAGGATGGACACATTATGTTATGAATAGAATAACAGTTTAATAAAAAGTAATAAATGGGATAAATGCTCATTTTGTTTCAATCCTGAATGTTGTTACTCTCTGAAGCTCAGTTTCTTCCTGGGCACATTGAGGATGTGATGCTCACACAGACCAAAGTCATTAATGCTATGTATCCTAATATTTATATCACTTGTTCATGGGAAAGATTCTTTCAAGCAAATAATGTGACTGTAGGCTTGAAAGCACTTAAAAACATTAGAAAATAATGACATCAGCATGTTGTCCTTTTATCCTGCCATGCCTGTTAATGTCTCTACCTGCTAAATTATACATTTTTTCATTATGCTCATAGTAGTTTAAATTTTTGTGCACATGTAAAGCACACTGCTTAGTTACTGCGATAAGGTATAAATATTATGGAAGCAGCCAGTGAAATCTTTCAAAATTGGCCCTCTTTATGCTGAGAACCTAATTATTTTACAGTTAACCAAGATCAATGTGATTATTTTGAGAAATTTTTGGTTGTTATTTAATATGTGTTAATTACTTTTAATTAGTTAACATTCTGTTGACAGAATGTTATTCAGTGTTTCATTATAGAAATTCATATCACTTTTTTTTTTTTTTTAAGACAGAGAGAGAGTATGTGTGACCAAGCGGGAGAGGAAGGGCAGAGGGAGAGGGAGAGACAGTCCCAAGCAGGCTCTATGCCCACCAGGAGCCCGACAAGGGGCTCCGTCTCAGGAGCCTGAGATCACGACCTTAGCCAAAATCAAGAGTTGGGGGGCGCCTGGGTGGCTCAGTGGGTTAAGCCGCTGCCTTCGGCTCAGGTCATGATCTCAGGGTCCTGGGATTGAGTCCCACATCGGGTTCTCTGCTCAGCAGGGAGCCTGCTTCCTCTCTCTCTCTCTCTCTCTCTGCCTGCCTCTCTATCTACTTGTGATCTCTCTCTGTCAAATAAATAAATAAAATCTTTAAAAAAAAAAAATCAAGAGTTGGATGTTTAACTGATTGAGCCACCCAGGCGCCCCCCAAATTCATATGCCACTTTAAGTGTTTTTCCTAGGTAAAGGGCAGATGGGATAAGTATAGGAAACATAAAATCAAAATATGATTTATATTTTATATTAAGGCTTGAAAGCTGAAGTTTTGTATTATTTGGGAAGACCAGTGAGAACTCTATCTCGTAAACTGCCGTGTTTGAGAATAAAAGCAAGCCACGTATCTCAGAGAATAGGACTATGACGGTGTTTAGTTTGCCGTGTGAGCACAGCTCTCCTTTTGCACATAAAGTTGTTTTATTAATTTTTTCCAAATATGTATAATTTTTGGCGTATTTTCCTATCTAATAATAGAAACATGGAATTAAGGTTAATAATTTTTTTAAAAGAAAAGTTAAGTTTGTAATATGGCTTCAAGTACATGGCTTTTAAAATGATTATCTTTCGGGTCAGTCGCTTTCTTCCTATAGCCTAAACAATATTATCTTTGATTGTTAATTTCGGAAAAATAGCTGTAATGTAGCGTGGGTAATTAGAGAATTAGATGTAAAGATCAAATTATCAAATTCTCATTCAGTTTTCTAGCCAGTCAGCCTCTACGGCGTGGCTAAAAGTGTGTTTAGTTTCACAGGACTTCATCGACTCCGGACACAGGCACAAAGGCTCTCCGAAGTACGCGGTTTACACTGCCTGCTGTTTTACGGGCTGGACCAGTTGTGACTTGTGGCTTTTCGTGGGGGGTTTAGATGGGAATTTTCCCCACAGGGAATTAAAGAGCATGTTAACATTCCTCCTTTTTCTTTAACTTTATTATTTAACGTTTTGTTCGGAACCATGAAGACCTATTCAGTCATAATGAGAATCTTCTGACCCTACAGTCCTTTTCCCACCCACTTAGAATAGTTTCTAGGCTGACTTCAACAAATAAGGATCATTAAAAGTTAGTCTTAAAAAAAAAAAAAAGTTAGTCTTAAGCTCTTACCCTTTGGTCCCCAATATAAGAGAAAAAGATGAAGAAAGAATAGGGGGTAAGTAAAATTACTAAAATGTGTTATGTAATTACCAATTAATTTGTTAGATATTAATTATATTATAATCATAATAAGATATTTAAAATGTGAATTCACATATGTTATGCTCTAAATAAATCTAGGAAAAGATAATTTGGATAATTTGCTGTAAAACATCTATTTCTTCAGACTGGCATAATATTAATTAAATAAAGCTGGTTGGCATAAATATCAATTAAATAGGGTATCCATGTTATTTTCAGAATCTTAAAGATAATCACTGGTATCACAAATATATTTCAATTCCAGCATGCCAATACAAAAATTTGAGTTAGTTCACATGTACGCCAGCTAAATTAATGCAACTTGGAATGGAATCAGAAAACAAACAAGTTATCTCTTTTAATATTGCATGAACACTGAAATCAAGCATTTCTCTGTTCCTATCCAATGGCTACTGTCAATAGGCAAAACAGTAAAAATGATTATTTAGCACTCTAGTCTGATGTAATATTTATCTGTATATATTTTTTCTTTGCCCTCGTAAATTAAAACTGTAACAAGTTAATTGTGCATTAAAATATTTCAATATAAGCTAATCATGACAATGCACTATCTACCAGAAACACATTGACAGTTGGTTATTTACAATGAGAAAGACCCTGAGGTTTCCTTGATATCTAAAATACTGTATATATATGTTTTTTAAAGACTATTTAATAAAGCATAGGAAAATTTTTAAAAGAGGCCTTATTACCTTCTCTTTCAAAGATGTTTTATTCTGCAAAGAATAACCTAACTTGTTGATTTTTAAAAAAAGATTTTATTTATTTATTTATTTGGCAGACAGAGATCACAAGCAGGCAGAGAGAGAGGGGGAAGCAGGCTCCCCACTGAGCAGAGAGCCTGATGCGGGCTCGATCCCAGGACCCTGAGACCATGACCCGAGCTGAAGGCAGCGGCTTTAACCCACTGAGCCACCCAGGCGCCCCCTAACTGTTGATTTTTGGCTGAAAGGGCATATACGCCAACTTACTCCCCCAGCCCTATCTCTCTGGCTACACAACTAATTGTGAACTGCCTTGCCCAGAGCTTTTCTCTGCAAAACAAATGATTGTACAACAAACATCGCTCAGCCTTCCTAACGTCCACTTGAGCAAATTAAAACTTCACATACTGTACTGCTTTGCATTTCATTACTATTCATTTAAATTAGAACGTAGAATCTATACTTGAAGACAGTGGGTCAAAGACAAGCAGCATTCTAGTCCTGAGTGGAGTAATTCCATTAATTCTTTGCGGTTAACCTGAAAAATATGTCACAGATATTTTTTGCTTCGTTTCTCTTCCGTACTTAGAAATCATAATAAAACTTGTGATCGGGTTGAAGCAATGCAGCGGGAAAGGAATCAGGAAAGGAGACGATTCTGGTTTCTTCTTCCCCTACTGCCACTTCTCTGTAGAAACGATCTGTTCTGATACGCCAAGTGCGCTGCTGGAATTACTTTCATATTTCACATTACCTTAATGATTTTCAGTCATGGATCTTTTGAATAGCAGTTGTAGTTCACCACGAATTCTTACTTTTGTCAGTGTGTTAGAAACTTTCGACCCTGGTTTTAAGACATTATTATGTTAAAATGTAGATAGCCTCATATTTATAAAAATTAAAATTATTTAATCTTTAGAGAAAATAAGAAATTTAAGCTACTTGTTGACATTTTGTGTAAGAATAATTTTAATGGCAATAAATACATCATCCTCGTTTGTTAAATTGAAATTTATATATAATTTATTTATATATATTGTTGTAACTGATGCACATACTGTTTTTTCTTGCAGTTTATCCAAAGACTAGGACACAGATAAAATTAGAAAAAGGTAAACATTCATTTATATGCTAATTAGAATTTATGTAAGACACTTAGAAATTCGATTCTTAGCTGTTTTTGCTATGGAGTTCATCATAAATCCATATGATCTTTGAAATTGTGCTTTATTTTGTATCGATATAATGAAACATTTAAAACAGCCTACATGGTATTTGGTAGGGAAGTCTTCGGACACTGTCTTGTCCTCTCCTTCTGACGCAGCATGGTATTTAGTCTCAGATCGGCCAAATCCCACAGCCATGCACATGGTGTTTTCCCATCTCCTGAGCATAACTTAGATGCCGCTAACCTCACTTTAGTTCTCAGATCCTAGTCCCTCGATAATCTCAGCGCCGTGTGTCTTCCGCAAGTTACACCCAGTAGTTCCCCGAGCTGGTCCACGTCTCCGAGCTGTCCCAGTCGGTTCGCAGCAGTGAATGCAGACGCGGCAGTAAACAGTTGCTCTCACCATTATACACTGTGTGTGCACACTTTTACCTTGTGATTTAAATTATTTATTGGTTTTAAATTATATTAAATAATTTTATAGATTTATATTAAATTTATATTATTTAGATTTATATTAAATAATTAGATTTATATTAAATAGCTTTCTGATTAAAGTGTTATATTAGCACATGAAAAAGTATCAGTAGATTAAGAAATACATTCCTTTTAGTAAAGGTCTAGATACTGACTTGGTCCAACTACCATTTATGTCATTTTCTTTTGAATGAGAAGAACGGAACAAAGAGATCAAATTATTTAACTTGGGACATGAGTCACAAAATTCAAAGTACATTTTAATTTTTCTGAGTTCGATTAAAATGTGTGAGAAAAAGTTGAAAGTTTTTGAGGCTGATAAACTTAAGACTTACCAGACTTTGGAATCAAAATTTATAAAATAAATTCAGTGGCAAGGTTTGTACAAACACTATCAGTGGATGTATTTATTTATAAATTTTAAAATAACTTTCTATAAATATTGAATTAATCTTTACAGAAATGTTCCATGTCCCAATTAAATGAAATTGGTTATCTGCGGTATCAAAGAATGCAGGATATTTACAAATAGCGGGTTTCATCCACCAAGTAAAAGATGATATCTTCGTGAAAAGAAATACCAACATTTAAATGTTATGGTATTTTTTAAAAGTGAAATTAAGAAAAAAATGTATGCAGATAAAACTAATTATAAAATTATGCTATTTAATGTACATGTAATGATTTGGAATTCAATCATTCTTTTTCTTCTACTAATTCAATTAATTTATATTTTTCCAAAAATGCAGTATTTTATTTTTACCAAAGTTATTGGCTCCACACAGTCAAAAATTGACAGCATATAAAACATAAACGTATATATTATAAAGCACAGTATAAATTAGTAGGTGTGAGGAAGACCTCTATGGTTGCAAAGGGGCACACCTCTGCTACCAACTAGAAGAATCACTTCTGCCATTGGAACTCCTCTTTCCCTGACTATAAAATGAGCACATTAAGGGAAATAGAGCCCTTTTACCTTTAACACGTTCTAAATCAACATTTTTAGGAGCTTTGTCAGATTGGCATTAACTTGATTAAGACAAAAAATATAACATTTCCTTAGGTACAAGGTAAGAATGCTCTCCGTTCCGTGTAGGTGTATGGATTTCTTAATCATCCTAGAATAGCGGTGGCATTGAGGAGCCAAACAAGGTGTCCTCAGTTTCGTTCATGACCCGCTCGGTTCGTTACATTGCTTTGCTCAGGGATCACCAAGCCTCCAGAATCCCCAGCCGAGAGTTCGACTTCAGCATTTGTAGGAGATGTGACAGAAAGCCGGAGACCCCAGGATGGAGATTGCTGTGTCAGAGCAAGAGAAAGATCAAGAGGCAACTTGAATGAACACATTTGTCAGAGTCAGGGAGGTGGGCCGGGAAGTCGCTGGGCTTAGCAGGTGGCCACAGGGCCGTGAGGTGCATGTGTAATTAGTGTCCCAGTTAGAAGCTCCTCTTCTCTCATTCTTCACTGATATTGTATAAGGATATGAGAGAATAAAGACCTCGAATGAGACCTCTAAGCATCCCCACTTCAGTCGAACCTCGTGATAGGCTTCTCAGTGTCAACACTGGGACAGTTACAGAACAGCCTCTTCGAAATAGTTTGGTTTGGGACAATCGTCAAGCGTGCAGCCCCAAACAGAACTTAACAGTAAAACTTAATGTGGCCAGTGGAAGTTTGTTTCTCGCTAAAAATCTGTATTCTGTGTTTTAACCGAGACTCAGCCTAGAGCAAGGATTGTCTTTCAGATTTAGTACAAGTGCAGCTTTACCTGGGGAATATGGGGTATGAATTTCCTGATTTGTAACCTTATTTTAAGCGGTAGGCCCACGTAGAATTATTTTACAAGTGTACAATTTCAAGTTCGTCTTAAAATAAATTTATGTCATTAGAATGGGGCCTCTTCCAATTTCCAATTTATAAATAATAAATAATAGCAACTTCCAATTTCTTAATTATACTTCTCAGCATAATTTCCTATTGTTTTGTATTCTTTATACACAATGTATTTTACCTACTCCTTTTTGTTAAACATAGAATTCTTATAGTCTCTGTTAGGATGATTTAAAATTTCCTATGAAGTACATACTAAGGCCAAGACAAATAAAAATGATAGCAACTGAATGTATCTTTTCCTCAGTCTCTTATAAAAAAAGTATTAAAAAAATTTAAAGAATTAGTTTTTTTCCTTGTCCCATAAATTACACTTAACCACAAATGGCCAATATGGTGATAATAGTAACATTCACCTTGAGAAACAAGAGGCAATAAACAATAAACAAAATAACTTTCAAACTGGAAATTTGAGAAGGTATAGAAGATAGATATTTTATACTACAAGAAGATAAGATGTTTATTTAATAAAACAATGCTCTCCTAGGAGATCAGCCTTCCTGAAGGTTTGCAATTACTGCAGAAATCATTATTAAATATATGCTTTTTATAGTAAAACCCTCCTGAGTGTTGCTTCCTTGAGATAGAACAAGTTGCTTTAAAATATAAAAGGACATGACAGTTCGTTTTTGCCACTCTGATAATATAGTTGCAGGGAAAAGTGGGGAGATGGGGGCCTCGCCCAATTCAAGCTCCGTATATCTTGCAATCACCATTTTGAAAATAAGTTTAATTCCCCTCTTTACAGAGTGTGCATGTAGACAAGGCTTGTAATGTAGATCACAGTGGCACAGCTTCTGTGACAGCTGTGTTTAATCTGGTTTGGACCACTATCAAAGAATGGGCATTAGATTTTTTTCAAAAGCCTCTCCAATCCCTGAACATGTATTTCCTTTCTGCCTTTGCACTGTTGGAGTCACTCCAATGCTGGGAAGAAGAAAAACAGGAGACACAGAGGCAGAGGATGTCATAAGAACTCTGGCATAAGAATTCAGGAACTTCTAAGAATAGTCATGAAAGCTTCCATAAGCCTCAAAGCTCCTACTCCAATATTTTTAAAAATTGAAACCATTGTAATGAAGCAACACATTATACTTCTTTCCCTAATGAGAGTCTACACCTGAAAAATATGAAATATTCCGAGATCTTTCCTAAATGTCAATGCATGTAGGCCTAAAAAAAAATTGAACCAAAATTTTGCCATGATATTTTGTAATATTATGAATTTTTGAATATTTCTTCCAAACCAAGGGTAAAATAATATCTTTTACTCTTTCAACTCATGAAATAGTTGATAGTTGGTGCCCTATTAATTTATGTTGAGAAATTGAGAACTTGAAATTTCAGTAGCAACAATGTGCGCAATAGATACATCTTCCTTATTTTAAACGTCCCAGCAGATGTAGTGGACAATTTTAATATTGTGCGGCTGTGGATAAAGTTTCATTTTTACCTCGTACCTTTAACTTTTCATGTTTAGTCTTTAAATAACTTCAACTTAGTTGTTTTGTACATTCACCCAGCATAATTCAATTATTCACAAAAAAGCATTTGCTTTCTGACATTTTGGTAATTTCCAGAAAAGCCAGATTACTGCTTTTTGGATAAAGACAATGGACTCTGTCGAGGTTATATGACTAGGTATTTTTATAACAATGAGACAAAGAAATGTGAAGAATTCAAGTACGGCGGGTGCCTCGGCAATCAGAACAACTTCATGTCACTGGAACAATGCAAGAGCACCTGTGAGGACTTAGGTAAGTCGCCCCCGTCTCATTTTACTCCATTTACAGGCATTCTTTCAAGAATGACGGATCTTAAATGATGTTCAAGCTTACTTAGATTTTCACTTCAGTCGCGCAGATGAAGATACATTACCACCCACTAAATCTGGTAAAAAAAAATTAGTCACTGTGTTAACTTAAAAAAAAAAAGGAACAGAAAAGTAAGAAATGTATAGAGGAACTTATTTCCATAGATTTATTTTAAGTTACATCATTTTTGTTTCCTGAGAATATTGTAGTACAATGTAAGCATAAGAATAGGACTGCTGAAATCCCTTAGATTTATAATAGTTTGAAGACAAGTCGCTCTTCGGAACCTACCACCATCAATCAGTTTTACCTGAGCATGAAATTTATTAAAGGATTGCCTTAGACTTTGACTGTTACCTTTTCCTAACCAAGAACTACAAAGTTACTCACAGAAATGTTATCTTATTCAATGATATGGATAAATATGAAAATTTACTGTTCACTAATTTAACATAGCAATGTGAATAACATTTTTAGAAGTCCACTCTTTTTTTTTAAGATTTATTTATTTATTTGAGTGAGAGGGAGAGAACCTTGAAACTGACTCCCCACCGAGCACGGAACCCACCGGGGCTCCCCTTCGAGACTCATGAGATCCTGACCTAAACAGGCCCCAAGAGTTTCTGGGGACTCAGGCGCCCGTGTCTGTAGAGGTCGACTCTCCCTCCTCCTCTCCTCCCTCCCCTCTTCCTCCTCCCCATCCTCCCTTTCTTTCTCCTCCTCCTCCTTCTTCTTTTTTTTTAAAGATTTTATTTATTTATTTACCGAGAAACGCACAAGCAGGGGGAGCAGGAGAGGGGAAGCAGGCTCCCCACTGAGCAGGGAGCCCAAAACAGGGCTTGACCCCACGACCCTGGGATCATGACTGAGCCACCCAGGTGCCCTGATGTCTCCTCTTCTTAACACAACCGCTGAGCCTTGCTTTGTGTGTGTGATCATGGACTTACGACAATGTTGCATTTTAATGGTGTTTTTTCCCAGAGCATGATCTTCAGTTGGAAGAATCTGTGCACAATACAGTCATATCTGGCTCTACGGATAATACACTGCCCATTAGTTCTGGGGGCAGCATGACACCACTTGATTTGACGAATAACGTAACCCCGGTTGATTCTGTGAATAATGACTCCGTCGCTCCCCAGCCTGCCGAGGCTCCCAGCTTTTTGGGTAAGAATACCTTTTTTTTTTTAATTTCTCCCCCCAACATATTATGGTAACAATAGAAGTAGAATGTATATTAGAAGTTTGTTTTTTGTTTTTGTTTTTTTTTAATACACTCTAGTTATAATAGGTGTGTTGAAATACTGACATTCAAAATGTTTGTCTTTGATCCTGTAAGGGTGATAATTTTCCTCTCTTTTCAAGTATGCTTTGAGGGAGGCTTTTGATTATATATCACATGAAAGCTTTCCTATGATATTTAACTCTGCCAAACTTATAAAATAACGTTCAGAGCTGTCAGCATCAATGTCTGGTGATCAGTGATTACGATGGCAGCATAGGCTCTTTGAGCATGGCATTGGGCAAGGGCTCAGGTGTCTAGTCACAGGACACATTAGGAATTTGTTGAATAACCATCACCAAAGGTTATGTCACTCTGAAGGGAATTGTCCTTTGGATTTCTGCAAGATTCTTTTCTGGGCTATATCCTGTCAATGTATTTTTCAAATTTAAGTAGACGTGGAGGAAATATATGCCCACAATAAATGCAGAGCAGGAAAATAGTAAAAATATTGGAATACAGAACTGGAAACCACAGTTATGTAGGCAGTTAAAAACAACCAAGAGAGCTTGGGGTTAACAGGATAAATATAAGGTCCCACCTACATTTTAAAAATCACACGTGCTCTTTCACACACTGGAGACTTCGCTTCGACGCAGTCCGCGTGCAAGTTTTAAATGTCAAGTTGAGGAGAGTTGAGAGAGTTCTGTAGCTCGCATAATGTGGTCCAAGGGTGACAGAGACAGTGTGTGCAGCAGGGGTTCCCACGGCAGGTGTGTCAGGATCGGGTGGGGACAGTCTCCAGCATCCCCCGTTACAACCAGCACATCAGCAGGCAAACGGGGAGCGGCTCTGCCGGACGGATGGAGAGCAGTGGTGGCTGCGCCCTGACCCTGTCCCTGTCCCTGTCCCGAGGGAGGGATGTCAGTGCCACTCTCGGTGCCACACGGTCCCGGTCATGTCTGTGGGCTTCGCTTCCGCCCTGAATGGCAGCCCTGAGAGGCCCCAAGGAGAACTGGAAGCGTGTGTGCAGGAGGACCGGGCGGTGTGAGTGGGAGAGGCCGAGAGGGAACTCACACCTGTTCTCTGCGCTCGAACATCAAGTTTACATCCTCGCCCCCGTCCCTGCAGCGCAGACCCTCCTGCCCATGTCCCAGCCCTTCCTTATGGCCTCAACCCAGCCTCAGAAGCAGGATTAATTCGTCAAATCTGAGGTATAAGGTTCCTTTGGCAAAGTGGTTTTTTTTTAATGTGAGGTCTTAAGAAATCAGTGGGTTCCATAGGAATTAAATTCCCGAAACTGCAGGCGTTCAAGCCGCGTTCCAGCAGCCCGTGAGGCGTCCTGAGTGCCCTGCAGAACGTCAGAGGGGTTTGAAAACCGTGTGTTCAAAGGCCTTCAGGGCCTCAGATTAGAGTCTGTAACGAGAGCAGCGAGTCCAATGCCTGATGAGTCACGTCTAGTTTTCAAACGCTACTTTGTTTGTAATAATGATAATAGTAAATATCTTGGTAGTTCTGATTTATTATCTGTGAAATTAAGTAATTTCATTGCATTGTTTCTTTGTGTCCTTCCAGCCCTGTGTCTTTCAGTGACATTTTGTTTTATCCAGCTAAGTATCCCATGTTGAAAAGCGTGCTAAATCTTACTGTGTGAAAGACGTGAAAGTTTAGAGTAACAAACTTAATGGGTTTAAAGAGACATGTGATACGATATGTCTACTAATAAAATAATGCATGAAATCCGTTTTCAATATGCTTCAATATTTTTTGTTTGGAATGCTTCACTAATTCAAATAGAGATCTGTATTTATTTATCATAATGAATGGAATAAGTTATGAGAAAGTTTTGCCTTAAAGTTTTATCAAGTATAAAAATCATGATTTTTGGCATGCACACGGCCAAAATAGAAAGGAGGAGACAAAATAAGTGTGAGAAGATAAACGAGTTTTAAATACTGTCTGATAAATATCCTAAGTTTTTATGTAGTTGTGCAATGAAAAGTATAAAAAAACCAAATTAATGGTTATAACAGAAAATTACTAAGGAAACAGTAAAAATTCACAACATGAATTTAAAAGAAGATTAAAAGGATTTTTATTTAAAACAATAGACATTTAATTCTTTCATAGTAACTGCATTTAAAATTAGGGAAATCTTCCTCCTTTCTTTGTCTAGAGAATTATTTCATTTTTTATTATATGTAATTGCCTCAAGGCTTCAATTCCTCTACTCAATTCCTCTAGCCAATCTGACTCCTTTTCTTCCTTTTCTAGAGTATTCATTTCTCATTCTTTTGTTTTGTGACATTTCCTGAGCTAAAGTGTGGAACAATATTGCAATAGCGACTATAGGCAGTTTGACGCAGAGTCGCTAACGTGAAAGGGGACAACGCAGCTGTGCCCTCAGGCTTCATAAGATCCACTCAATCCCGTGTCCCTCCCGTCCAAGTGGGGAAGGTAGAAATGCAGCTGTCGCTCTTCACCAAGACCTAGAAGAGCCCTTCTCTACCTCACCCAATGTCAGAGGGCAGTTGTGCCCCCACTTTGCCTGTATGTAGTCTATCCCTTTCCTCCTCCACCAAAGGCTTTTGCTGAGGTCTATGAAGACACTGTTGATATTCCAGCTCAGAAATAATTACATCTGCCAGAGCTTGTGATTATATTAATATTTTAATTTAGGAAATATGCTTTTATGTTTCTGTAAAACCTTGTTGTTCAAGGCTTTGGCAAATGTATAAGGTTCTCCGTATTACTTTCTTTTGAAAAGACATAAGTTGTTTTAATTGTGATTCTGTGTATGGGAATAATAACATACCCCACAACAAAAATAGGATAGCATTCATTTAAAATTCTTTCCATTAAATAGCAACCCTTAGGTAGAGTATTTGAATATTCCAAAAATGTAGCTAGACTGTGCTATCATTATGAAGGAGAACATTTGTAAACATAATTTTAATGTTTCTCTTCACGATGATAGTAGGAAAACCTTTTAGAAATTTTGTTTGCTGTTTATCCTTAACTACCACGAAATTGCATGTAAGCTTGAGAATGTTTTTCCCAGTGAGCCTCCTTGACTGGAGATATTGGAATGCCAAGCCCAACTGAGCTTTAATTTTTTCCTTTTATTTCCAGATTTTGTTATTGGTAGGCTATATAGGGGATCTCAGAGATTGAGGCTCGCTCTTCCTTAAAGAGACTTTTATAACATCTTTTGTAAGCTCATCCTTATGTACAAGTATTTGAGTTTGGATGAGCTGAACTAATGAGTATATCAATGTAGGTAAAACAAATGCTTGTTCTCACCACGCGTGTGAGAGAAATCCATCTAAAGCCCCCCCTCTAAACATGTGTACATCTGTACTTAATCTTCAGAACGTAAAACTACCGCGGTTAGTTTTCTTGACTCTTCCTTTGGGACTAGCGCTATAGTCCAGTAGGTCAAAGACTCTGAGCCTGAAGAGTTGGGCTCGAATCCCAATTCTTCCACTTGTTGCTGTGCAACCTTGAGTTACGTCTTAGCCTCTCTGAACCTTAGTTTCCCACCATACAGTGAGGATGGCAGTAATGCAGTTCTCACTTTCTAAGTTTTGCTGTGAGGTGAAATCAGTCAGTATACAAGGTACACTAAGCACAGAGCAGTACCCACTCCACGCCACGTAAGTATCACTCATTGCTATTACCTGTGGGACCCAGAGCAATACCCGTAACTTCCTTGGCCTTCGTTTCTCACCTGCAAAGCAACCGTCTCTAAGTTCCTCTTCGCAGAAGTTGGTATTTTAGACACTCGTAAGATCTCTACTTACTCAGCTAAGTGGATCGGTACACATAAGGTCACAAAACTACAAATAACCTTCAGAAGAGAAAGGATAAGAGGCCTAAATTAATACAGAGATGGAAACTTACACAGTTCAGATATGTTTAGTGGAAACAAGTTAAGATTATTGTCATATAAAAGTATGATGGGCTTTGAAGCCAAAAGAACTTTGTGTAACTTTTCTTTGTCTTCTGAAAACTTCCAGCTTTCCAAACTTCCAGAGTTCTGCCACCATTTCCAGCTGTTTCAGTTTGAGCACTTGGTACTCTCCTCTGATCACCCTCTCCTTCTAGTCAGTCCTTCTATTGTTTTTCTACTGAAATGTTCACTCCTGTCTTCTCCGTCTTCAGTCTACCTGTTTTGTTCAGAATATCAATCTTGTGTGTTTCGATGATCTCCATCTGATGTCATCAAATAGGGACACTAACGAAAATGAAAGGGGGATGCCAAAAAAAAAAAAAAGATCTATTTGAAATAAAAATATATATTGACAGAAAACTAGGTCTGTCATTTTGGTGGATAGATAAAATAGATTTATTTTTAAAGTATTTCAATTTTCAAAAAATCACATATGTGTTGGGATATGATCTACCAAAAAAAAAAAAAATGAGCTTGGACCAATACTGGCTCAGGCAACCCAGGCGTCATAAACCTCAGATAGATACCAAGGAGATCAGATATACCATATATACTAATATATACTCATATATCACACATGTTAAATACAACATTTCCTATAGCTATGCATATAGACACATGCACATATATGTATATGTGCATTATACATGTGTATACATGCATATGTACAGGGAGGGACAGAAAAGACAGGGAACAAGGGAGTCATGCGTGACATGCACTGGATACAGCGTTTCTGACATTGCTGTTCTACTCTCATTCATCCATTATATGAGCGTCAGAGTATCTTTAGTCAAGCAAGTTCACATTTCTTTTCCATCAGAGAAAAAGAAATTAAAACCTTTACAGATAGACTCTTTCTGTGGTAATTTAGCCTCATTCCCTTGTTTTAGATTTTTCTGCATTATCTGCTACCCCTCTAACTGTCCCAGATTTTTGTCTCACTAAATACAAAATATTTTTGTCCCTTCTGAATGGACACTGTCATTAAGTAGA